TATTAGGTACAAATCCGTGAGGGTTAGTTAGCCTAAAACGGATAATATTATGTCATGTGGAGGGTGAGGGTGTTACAAGTGGTATCAGAGCCGACTCTCGCCTGGATCGAGTGTGGGCCCCTACCGTGCTCGCGTGTAGTGGGCGGGCAGGTAGCTGATGAGCTGTTGCACGAGGACGTGCAGCCCTAAGGGGGTGGATTATGAGATCTTGGTGCCCCACATCGGTTAGGGAGGCAAAAGTTGTTGGGCTTATTTGTAAGCCCCTCGCCTTACATGGCATTAAGTTTTTTTCCAGGGGTACTGGAGGTACAAAGCCATAAGGGCCAGTGGGCCCAAAGCGGACAATATTAGGTACAAATCCGTGAGGGTTAGTTAGCCTAAAACGGATAATATTATGTCATGTGGAGGGTGAGGGTGTTACAAGTGGTATCAGAGCCGACTCTCGCCTGGATCGAGTGTGGGCCCCTACCGTGCTCGCGTGTAGTGGGCGGGCAGGTAGCTGATGAGCTGTTGCACGAGGACGTGCAGCCCTAAGGGGGTGGATTATGAGATCTTGGTGCCCCACATCGGTTAGGGAGGCAAAAGTTGTTGGGCTTATTTGTAAGCCCCTCGCCTTACATGGCATTAAGTTTTTTTCCAGGGGTACTGGAGGTACAAAGCCATAAGGGCCAGTGGGCCCAAAGCGGACAATATTAGGTACAAATCCGTGAGGGTTAGTTAGCCTAAAACGGATAATATTATGTCATGTGGAGGGTGAGGGTGTTACAAGTGGTATCAGAGCCGACTCTCGCCTGGATCGAGTGTGGGCCCCTACCGTGCTCGCGTGTAGTGGGCGGGCAGGTAGCTGATGAGCTGTTGCACGAGGACGTGCAGCCCTAAGGGGGTGGATTATGAGATCTTGGTGCCCCACATCGGTTAGGGAGGCAAAAGTTGTTGGGCTTATTTGTAAGCCCCTCGCCTTACATGGCATTAAGTTTTTTTCCAGGGGTACTGGAGGTACAAAGCCATAAGGGCCAGTGGGCCCAAAGCGGACAATATTAGGTACAAATCCGTGAGGGTTAGTTAGCCTAAAACGGATAATATTATGTCATGTGGAGGGTGAGGGTGTTACAAGTGGTATCAGAGCCGACTCTCGCCTGGATCGAGTGTGGGCCCCTACCGTGCTCGCGTGTAGTGGGCGGGCAGGTAGCTGATGAGCTGTTGCACGAGGACGTGCAGCCCTAAGGGGGTGGATTATGAGATCTTGGTGCCCCACATCGGTTAGGGAGGCAAAAGTTGTTGGGCTTATTTGTAAGCCCCTCGCCTTACATGGCATTAAGTTTTTTTCCAGGGGTACTGGAGGTACAAAGCCATAAGGGCCAGTGGGCCCAAAGCGGACAATATTAGGTACAAATCCGTGAGGGTTAGTTAGCCTAAAACGGATAATATTATGTCATGTGGAGGGTGAGGGTGTTACAAGTGGTATCAGAGCCGACTCTCGCCTGGATCGAGTGTGGGCCCCTACCGTGCTCGCGTGTAGTGGGCGGGCAGGTAGCTGATGAGCTGTTGCACGAGGACGTGCAGCCCTAAGGGGGTGGATTATGAGATCTTGGTGCCCCACATCGGTTAGGGAGGCAAAAGTTGTTGGGCTTATTTGTAAGCCCCTCGCCTTACATGGCATTAAGTTTTTTTCCAGGGGTACTGGAGGTACAAAGCCATAAGGGCCAGTGGGCCCAAAGCGGACAATATTAGGTACAAATCCGTGAGGGTTAGTTAGCCTAAAACGGATAATATTATGTCATGTGGAGGGTGAGGGTGTTACAAGTGGTATCAGAGCCGACTCTCGCCTGGATCGAGTGTGGGCCCCTACCGTGCTCGCGTGTAGTGGGCGGGCAGGTAGCTGATGAGCTGTTGCACGAGGACGTGCAGCCCTAAGGGGGTGGATTATGAGATCTTGGTGCCCCACATCGGTTAGGGAGGCAAAAGTTGTTGGGCTTATTTGTAAGCCCCTCGCCTTACATGGCATTAAGTTTTTTTCCAGGGGTACTGGAGGTACAAAGCCATAAGGGCCAGTGGGCCCAAAGCGGACAATATTAGGTACAAATCCGTGAGGGTTAGTTAGCCTAAAACGGATAATATTATGTCATGTGGAGGGTGAGGGTGTTACAAGTGGTATCAGAGCCGACTCTCGCCTGGATCGAGTGTGGGCCCCTACCGTGCTCGCGTGTAGTGGGCGGGCAGGTAGCTGATGAGCTGTTGCACGAGGACGTGCAGCCCTAAGGGGGTGGATTATGAGATCTTGGTGCCCCACATCGGTTAGGGAGGCAAAAGTTGTTGGGCTTATTTGTAAGCCCCTCGCCTTACATGGCATTAAGTTTTTTTCCAGGGGTACTGGAGGTACAAAGCCATAAGGGCCAGTGGGCCCAAAGCGGACAATATTAGGTACAAATCCGTGAGGGTTAGTTAGCCTAAAACGGATAATATTATGTCATGTGGAGGGTGAGGGTGTTACAAGTGGTATCAGAGCCGACTCTCGCCTGGATCGAGTGTGGGCCCCTACCGTGCTCGCGTGTAGTGGGCGGGCAGGTAGCTGATGAGCTGTTGCACGAGGACGTGCAGCCCTAAGGGGGTGGATTATGAGATCTTGGTGCCCCACATCGGTTAGGGAGGCAAAAGTTGTTGGGCTTATTTGTAAGCCCCTCGCCTTACATGGCATTAAGTTTTTTTCCAGGGGTACTGGAGGTACAAAGCCATAAGGGCCAGTGGGCCCAAAGCGGACAATATTAGGTACAAATCCGTGAGGGTTAGTTAGCCTAAAACGGATAATATTATGTCATGTGGAGGGTGAGGGTGTTACAAGTGGTATCAGAGCCGACTCTCGCCTGGATCGAGTGTGGGCCCCTACCGTGCTCGCGTGTAGTGGGCGGGCAGGTAGCTGATGAGCTGTTGCACGAGGACGTGCAGCCCTAAGGGGGTGGATTATGAGATCTTGGTGCCCCACATCGGTTAGGGAGGCAAAAGTTGTTGGGCTTATTTGTAAGCCCCTCGCCTTACATGGCATTAAGTTTTTTTCCAGGGGTACTGGAGGTACAAAGCCATAAGGGCCAGTGGGCCCAAAGCGGACAATATTAGGTACAAATCCGTGAGGGTTAGTTAGCCTAAAACGGATAATATTATGTCATGTGGAGGGTGAGGGTGTTACAAGTGGTATCAGAGCCGACTCTCGCCTGGATCGAGTGTGGGCCCCTACCGTGCTCGCGTGTAGTGGGCGGGCAGGTAGCTGATGAGCTGTTGCACGAGGACGTGCAGCCCTAAGGGGGTGGATTATGAGATCTTGGTGCCCCACATCGGTTAGGGAGGCAAAAGTTGTTGGGCTTATTTGTAAGCCCCTCGCCTTACATGGCATTAAGTTTTTTTCCAGGGGTACTGGAGGTACAAAGCCATAAGGGCCAGTGGGCCCAAAGCGGACAATATTAGGTACAAATCCGTGAGGGTTAGTTAGCCTAAAACGGATAATATTATGTCATGTGGAGGGTGAGGGTGTTACAAGTGGTATCAGAGCCGACTCTCGCCTGGATCGAGTGTGGGCCCCTACCGTGCTCGCGTGTAGTGGGCGGGCAGGTAGCTGATGAGCTGTTGCACGAGGACGTGCAGCCCTAAGGGGGTGGATTATGAGATCTTGGTGCCCCACATCGGTTAGGGAGGCAAAAGTTGTTGGGCTTATTTGTAAGCCCCTCGCCTTACATGGCATTAAGTTTTTTTCCAGGGGTACTGGAGGTACAAAGCCATAAGGGCCAGTGGGCCCAAAGCGGACAATATTAGGTACAAATCCGTGAGGGTTAGTTAGCCTAAAACGGATAATATTATGTCATGTGGAGGGTGAGGGTGTTACAAGTGGTATCAGAGCCGACTCTCGCCTGGATCGAGTGTGGGCCCCTACCGTGCTCGCGTGTAGTGGGCGGGCAGGTAGCTGATGAGCTGTTGCACGAGGACGTGCAGCCCTAAGGGGGTGGATTATGAGATCTTGGTGCCCCACATCGGTTAGGGAGGCAAAAGTTGTTGGGCTTATTTGTAAGCCCCTCGCCTTACATGGCATTAAGTTTTTTTCCAGGGGTACTGGAGGTACAAAGCCATAAGGGCCAGTGGGCCCAAAGCGGACAATATTAGGTACAAATCCGTGAGGGTTAGTTAGCCTAAAACGGATAATATTATGTCATGTGGAGGGTGAGGGTGTTACAAGTGGTATCAGAGCCGACTCTCGCCTGGATCGAGTGTGGGCCCCTACCGTGCTCGCGTGTAGTGGGCGGGCAGGTAGCTGATGAGCTGTTGCACGAGGACGTGCAGCCCTAAGGGGGTGGATTATGAGATCTTGGTGCCCCACATCGGTTAGGGAGGCAAAAGTTGTTGGGCTTATTTGTAAGCCCCTCGCCTTACATGGCATTAAGTTTTTTTCCAGGGGTACTGGAGGTACAAAGCCATAAGGGCCAGTGGGCCCAAAGCGGACAATATTAGGTACAAATCCGTGAGGGTTAGTTAGCCTAAAACGGATAATATTATGTCATGTGGAGGGTGAGGGTGTTACAAGTGGTATCAGAGCCGACTCTCGCCTGGATCGAGTGTGGGCCCCTACCGTGCTCGCNTTTTTTTTTTTTCCCATCCTTGGTTAAACACTCAATTATACTGTGGAGGTCATTGGTTTGAATTACCCACTCCTCTATCGACATTATCTAAAAAAATCTCTTGCATTAAATAATTCTACACCTCTATGCGATTTGAGTAATCAATTTCCTCCACTAGAAGTACCCAAACTTAACAAGCTAATGGTTATATATGGATGGGGTCCAAAATGCGGTTCTGAATTGGTATTTTTTTTTTATCTAATGTGACATATATAATTTTTTTTTTATTATTTTCATAATAAACTACTACAAGTAAATCAATCTAATATTTACCACAATAATTATTTTCAATATGGTGACAAAAATCAATTTTTCAATACCATAGTTTTATTTCTCATATATGGCAACTTGCTGATTTCTCATAACAATTCATTCTATTTCGGACAATACCCAAAGATTATTCTACAGCTCTATTAATTCCACCAAAACTACTCACAACATACTACAAAGGTTTCCAAAGTACCCTGATCAAACGGTTTCGGAGGAGGAAAAAAAAGGATCACAAAAGTTTAGAGAGAGAGAGAATAGATTTAGGCAGAAGTAGTATTTTCATAAACTACATAACAGAGCAGGCATTGGGGTTGTCATCACTGAACATTGTGATGTAGGGGTCCTCATATCTGGTCACAATACCACCTGTAGGATTCTCTACCTTTCTGACAAAGCCAGGAGGTGCTTTCTTGTCATAAGCTTGAGCAGCATAAGGCTGAGCCACCAAGTTATAAGGGACATAGGGCCAAATCTCAGCCTTTTTTCCTGTTGATTTAGCTTTCTTCAACACTTTGCTTGCCTCCACATACCCTGTTACAGTTACCTTCTGCTGTTTCCTGTTTATTTCCACATTTTTAACTCCTGCACAGCCACTCAATTTTTTAGCACAAATTGTTCATAACACACAAATTAAACCGAATCAATTATTGTTCTATTGTTTTTTTATTGTTTAACCATATCATAATTTCAAACTTATTTATTAAATTACCATTGCCATGAAAGTCATTTCTTGTAGACACACGTTCAATGTAAAAAAGCTTGAAAGTGAGTTTCCGGGACACAACATTAGTGTAAATATGTGAGTCCGATACACTATTTCAAAAAACAACAATAATTTGACAAATATATTTGAAATAATAGTATTTTGATAAAAAAAACTATAAATAAAGGGTACAAAAGTGACAATTGTAAATAAACTCGTATTGGTAGCCTTATGACAAAATTTAGAACGGAAAAACCATTAATTCGGCCGTTTTATATTTGACTCTCTGTGTATATAGAGTTTAACTTTTATTATCATTTCCGAATAATTGTAGGTATTTAATATTAACTTTTTAACCAATGGGTCTTTGGTCCAATGATAATCTTTATCTTATGAAGGTATTGCTTTCTTAATTGAGGTCTAGATCGAGATCAAGGTCAAGGTTTCAAACCCCTTTCACTCCCTCTCCCTCTCCCTCCCCAAAAATAAATAAATATATTAAGATTAACTCTTCAGACGTCAATCTAATGTGGTCCTATACAAAGAAGTTCTTCATTGTCCCCACATAAAAAGACACGACAAATAACATCAAAAGACATAGTAGAAAGAAAAATGTGTATACCACTTAATGAAAACAAAGTTTTCTTGACTTTAAGCTCGCACCCATCACAGTCCATCCTGACTTTGAGGTTCACAGTCTGGAACTGCTTCTTCTTCTTGTGTTTATGAGCACTGCTTATCAAATCTGAGATGTATTCCAAAGTTGCTCCAACTCCCATTCTTAGTTTCTTAGTACCTCTTTAAGTAAATAGGTGCAAGAAAAAAACTTCAGAACATAAAGACAAAGGCTTCAATGTAAATATCAAGGATTTGAAGACAGGAAACCAAAATAAAAGCTTTTTGATGGAACAAAGTTTTGGGGGAGAAATGATAATAAATTGAAGATGAGTGACAGACAAAAAGTAATTAGTATGCAGAAATATCTGTTAGTGAACTCATTACAGTAAATTTTTCAAAAAACCACTCCGATAATTTGAAGAAACTTCCCTCCAAGAAATCGATTCCTTTCATACCTTCTAACGAAGAAAGGGAAAGAGGAAAGGCTTCAAAAGCTGCTCTACCAAATTTTCTTTTACTTCCTCTGAGCCCTTTCTTTCCAAAGAAGATCACCTACTTATATAGACATTAATTTTCAGGTTCAAACAGAAGACAAAAAGAAAGGTGGTCCCCATCCACCCCAAGGGGAAAAAATAACACTAGACAATAGCCTTTAAGGAAACCTGTTTTTTTTTTTTTGGCATCGACGATGTCTTTAAAGCATCCATTAAATATGGTTGCTCATTTAATTTGATTTTCAAGAGACAGCATAGTACCATATACATTTTGATTCCTTAATATAATTCCTATCAATGTCATTTAAGGTGCATCACTAACAATGTATACTTGAGGGACCCACTTAAAAATAATATGGGTAGAGCCCAGATTTTGCATTAGAAGGAACAAACTGTTACAAAAGAAAAATTCACCAATTTATACAAAATATTTCCAAACATGAGACTATTTTAGGATTCAACACTAAATTACTATTAAAACAGTAAAACCAATTTTCATTTAACTTATAAAAAAAATATGAACAATAAACCATAAAATAACCTATGGTATGACATTTCAACTCCATTACATACTGAAGTAGAAAACGATATTATTTCAAATCTCAACATTCGTCTATAATGTATTGATGATAAACTAAATTTTTAGTAATTCTCTTCAATGTACAAAATCACATTACCCGTGAAAAAATCATTATTAATTTTACACTGTAAAAACTGATTAAAATCATTAATTCTCTTCAATGTACAATCCAGAAACTAAAACATTTTTTTCTTTTCTTTTCTTTTTTTTTCTTTTGGGGGGAGGGGGGTGGGGAGACAATGGGCTACTAACTTGCCAAGAATTAGGGGTGCAACTCGGGCGGGGTTGGGCGGGTTGGACAATCAATTATAACCCAACCTTAGGTATATAATCTTCAATCTTAATCCTACCTTGGATGGGGAAACTCAACTCAAGCACTGCCCAAATTTAATTTGAGCGGGTTTGAGTTGAATTCAGGTTGATGATTTCGGGGCTGATTTTGGGTTACTTTACAGGTTCAATTCGGATAGATCCCAAAATAGGCTTGTTGTTCTAAACCTAATACATATATTACATAATATCATCTAAATTAACAACAAATAACTTCAACCAAGTTTTTAACGAGAGAGGCAAAGAGAACGAGAGAGACAAAGAACGATAGAATAAAAAAAAAAATCAGTGCTAATGTTTTATATATATATATATATATATATATATATATATTTTTTTTTTTAATTTGTCTGGTTTGAGTTCAACTTGGGTTCAGGAGACCTTAACCCGAGCCCAATCCAAATTGAATTCGGGTTAAAGTTTTTTGACCCAAACCCAACCAAAGTATTAAAAACCTTTGTCTAAACTCTAATTTTTTTGGGTTGAACTTGGGGTGAAATCGGGTTACCCAACCTAAGTTGCACACCTACCAAGAATTAAAAACAAGTTAGGATCTTTATAAACATTTTCAAAAAATTAAGGGGGGTAAATGTGTTAAAATAATCAAACTATCATAAATAAAGAGCTTCAAAAACTCATGGAAGGCAAGTGCCCACCCTTCTCCCTGTGTGGCTTTGCCCTGCTTATTTGAATTTACCATTGATTGAATTTGAAAAAAATATATCTATTAGATAATGTCTCACTTTGTATTGCAATAATTAGCTAGAAAAGCAAGGAAATGAAAAAAGAAATGCGGTGTATTTGATAACCTGTCGATTTGCGAATTATTATCTCAAAAGTCTAACATTTATTTTTGTGGCAACTTTTTTTTGTGTCTAATGTATGAAAGATTAAGTGCATTCAAAATTCACACTTGAAAAAAAAAACATATACGTATTATATTTCTTTGCCAGCACATATAATGTATTGTGTGAATTGTGGAACTGAGGCACTTTGGTCACATGAATACAAAGGAACTTGTTGAGTAAAAAAATATTCTATTTTTTGTTTTTAAATTTTATATGTTTGACATTGTCATTTGTCAAAAAAAAATATAATATCAAAAATAATTTTTCAATGCTATAATTGGACCGAGGAGAAATAATACAAAGTGTGGGCCAATGCCTACATAAAAAATACCCCCAATAATAGAAAGGCTACCTGCCACATTTCAATATGTCTGATCTGACACGTGTCAAATATAGATTTCTTCGTGGGTGTTAGCTGAGAAAATATTTGGTGTTTATAAGGTACCAATGTCATAATGTTATGGAATGCAAATTTATTACAACAGTCACTTGTTAGACACGCAAGTTGATTTATTTACAAAAAAATGCTAACAACTTCACTGGTGATAATAATTTACTGTTAATATAAAATGTTATATAAGTAATGTACACTGAGCACCGAATATTTTGTCGTGTTAACTACAACCCAATGACAAAATGTGAAAAGTTATTAAAGAGTTACGCGCAACCACTGTGACATTTCAATTTATCTTTTTTTTATGAACACAATGAAATATATATTTCCATTAAAAAAAATGAGGAGGGAAGGTTTCTCAAGACCTCCCACCTCTTATTAAAACAATATAAATAGATAGATATGCATATATTCTTTTATATTCATTAAAATCTATACTAATAAGATAGAATCTAATTTGAATTTATTTTTACTTCAAAATTTAATCTAATTTCAATTCATTTGGAAAAGCACAAGGACGACTCAGATTTAATATACTTTTAGTTTAATGGCCTAGATTTCATCTCCATTATTCCAAGTTAATCCAAAGGCAGACAATGCATTTCACACAAAACAATTTTCCCGCCCAAACCTTTTGCACAGTGCCCAAGGGCCCAATTGTCAGACAAAACTCTCCATGGCCCAACGTCTCTCCTCTTCTTCTTCTCTCTGTCTGTCTCCTCCTTTGTGACCTCTCATTCCCTCTCAACCTTCACCGGTCATCCCATCGACCAAGGTAAGCTTTGTTCTGCTCTCTCTCCCCTCTCTTTCTCCCCTCCCTCTCTACACACGCACACACAGTCACACGCACACAGTTGAACAAACATAAACACACCCCAACTCACCCACCCAGAGCACGCACACACATACATCACGGGTGTTAATTGGGTGTTAGTTTAAGGTTTTGAATTGGGTGTTAATTCATCTTCCCTTACTTTTTGTTTGCCTCCATCTCTTTTGTCTCCACCGCCTTTGTCACACCATGTAATTGCACAACGCCGACGCCAGGTGAATCCATCTATCTTTTCTGCCTCTTCCTCTTCTGTCTAACCCCCATCCACCATCGAATATCCCACCATAGACCCCTAAATTTGGTTCAGGCATAGTGTTGGTACTATTTTTGTTGTCGCCTTTGTTGATTTTGTGCCCATTCTTTAAATTTTCCAATTTGCACAACCCTTTTTCTGGGTTTGGAAGTAGAATGAGTCATTCCCATAAATCACTTAATTTTAGTGTTACATTGTATACGCAGAGCTTGCTTCGCCTGGGTCACTTGCTTCTTCAGAGGAGGTAAGCTACTAGCTTTTGAGTATGTAATTTTTTTTTGATCCAATGATTTTATTGAAACCACATCATTATGTCAATAAATTAAGTTAGATTTTTAGGTCCAAAAAATATTACTCTATAATTACATGCAATACAAACAGGTGATTAAATATTTAAATAGTGGATCATGATGTAATGAAAGATATATTTATCAATATTCTCAGCGCAAAGTTATTTGATATGCCTTTTAATTGATCATATTTTTTTTTTATTATTTCGTGTCTATAGACACGAATAATTATTAGTATATATATATAGGGACAGATCTGGCTTCCTCGTTAGACGGGTTCTTTTTTAGGGGGGTGTCCCTTTTTGAGTTATTTTTTGGGCCTTGGGCCACAGGCGCGGCCATGAAAAGGATGGGGCAAAAGGAAAACAAGTTTACGGCGGTAATGTGAAGAGCGCGTTCAAGTTGCCAAAATTACACTTACATCCTTTAAGATTTACACAAATTATATAAGATGCTCTTATAGTTTTTGTGATTACACTGCATCACTTTTGAAACTAACAAATCCACTGATGTATTCTCTATCTCAGTAGTCCAACTTACGCCCACTTTTATATGCCGAAAATAAAAGTGTCAAAATGTCTTGAATAAAACATTAAGAGTGTGTTTGTTTTATGAATTATCAAAGAGGGACCGTAATTGAATAAAACATTAAGAGTGTGTTTGTTTTATGAATTAACAAAGAGAGACCGTAAAAGATAATGTCGGACTCACCTTACCCCTCTTATATCCATGTTTGGATACATAATTTAGACCCGGTATTAACATCTTAAAATAATATCAGTAAATAGTGTATTGAATACTAGGAAAATTTAGAAGTTGGTCTCCCCATATAAACTTATTTGGACTTAAGTCTGTCCAAAAAATTTATTTGTTATGAAGTCTATTTTTGTCAATTTTATCAGACTATTTCTTCTTTTTAAAAATGAAATAAAACTAAAAATTAAAAATTTTTAAATTTTAAGAGTTTGACTAACATTAAAAAAATTTCTCTCTCATATCTATCTATATCTATATATAGGTTACGACTACATATATATATATATATATATATATATATATATATATATATATATATATATATATATATTAACATTAAAAATAAAAAAAAGTAACATTCAAATATATAAAATATATATATCATTTAAACAACAAAAATAATACCATTTAAACATAAAAAAGTAATAACATTTAAACATAAAAAAATAGTAACATTCAATATTTGTATTTTAAAAAAATAACAATAGTAACATGTTCAACAAAAATAGTAATATGTTTAATAAAAATAATAGCATGCTTAACAAAAACAGTAACATGTTCAACAAAATTAGTAACATGTTCAACAAAAAATAGCAATACAGAACATTGAACAAAATTGAAAATAAAAATAATAACATTCAAACCCATAACCAGAGGAAGAAACGTTCAATTCTTCAGCATCCAAAAAAATAAAATGGATAAAGTAATAATATGCTCAATAAAAAATAGTAACATGAAAAAAAAATAGTGATATATGTTATTAAATTACGTTTTGAAATTGATG